CCAACACCACCGACCCCTCCCCCAACGGCCTGCGCTGTTATGGCTGCCCCGAGAGCGGGCCCTGCCCCCCGACCACCGTCGTCCATTGCTACGGCGACCTCCGCGCCTGTTTCCACGGCAACGTCACCCTGCGCGCAGGTGAGCCCCGGAAACCCCGCCCCCTCCCGGGCGTGGCCACGCCCAGGTGCGTTTAACCACGCCCCCCCCCGCCCACCCCACAGGTAACCTCACCTTGTGGCGGGAGCTGCGGGGCTGCGTCCCCGACGGCGGCTGCGGCCCAGATCGCCGCGGCGACGACGCGGCCTCGCTCAGCGGTTCCTGTTGCCGCGGCGACCTCTGCAACGACGACATGGCCGACAAGAGCTTCTTCTCGCCCGACCTGCCCCGCCTGGAGCTGCTGCCGCACGGCCACGCCCCCACGGCCGCGCCTGAGAACGCCACGGTGGATGGCGGCGGGCAAAATGGCACCCGCGGCAAGATGGCCGCCGGTGGTGGTAGCGGCGGTGCCAATATGGCCGCCGGTGACCGCACGGCTGCTGGTGATGCCGGAACGGCCGCGCCCGAGCGCGATGTGGCCACCAGCGGCAAGAGGGCTGCGGGTGGCAAGATGGCTGCCGGGGGGAAGATGGCTGCCGGGGACATGGTGATGCCGGAACGGCCGCGCCCGAGCGCGATGTGGCCACCAGCGGCAAGAGGGCTGCGGGTGGCAAGATGGCTGCCGGGGACAAGATGGCTGCCGGGGACAAGATGGCTGATGGGGAAAAGACGGGTGATGGAGACAAGATGGCCGCCGGTGGCAAGATGGTCACCAGGGACAAGATGGCTGACAAAGACAAGATGGCTGACGGGGATAAAATGGCTGCTGGTGACAAGATGGCTGCCGGAGACAAGATGGCTGACGGAGACAAGATGGCTGACGGAGACAAGATGGCTGCCGGTGACAAGATGGCTGACGGAGACAATATGGCCGCTGGTCACGTGGCCCCCAGGCGGCCAATGGGGCGCAAGGACGGGATCAAGGGCCCGGTGGGGCGGGGCGAATCTCTGGGCGGGCCCGGGTGGCTCCTCCCCTTCCTGCTGTTGCCCCTCCTCCGCTGAGGGCGGGGCTTGTTTCGCAATAAATGGGTGTGGCTTAAGCGCCGGTGCCGGAGTCGTTTTTTTGGGGGAAAATTGGGATTTTTGAGAGGAATTTGGTGATTAAAAAATTGTTAAATTTTCGATTAATTATGTGATAGTTTTTAATTGGTTTTTAATTCTTTTTCAGTGGTTTTTGTTGCATTTTTTTGGTTTTTTTTCTGGTGGTTTTCATTATTTTTCGATGGGATTTTTAAAATTTTTCGTTCTCTTTTTCGTTCTCGTTTTCGTTCTATTTTTTTGTTCCATTTTCAATTTTATTTTTAATTCTATATTTAATTAATTCTATGTTTAATTCTATTTTTCATATTACAATTATTATTATTATTACTATTATTATTATATTATCCTTAAGTAATAATCACCAATATAATTACCTACTCTTATAATAATTTTAATAACATTAAATTTTATTAACTATAATTAATAAACATCACTAGCGAAACCTCATTAGGGCTCAGCCAGCCCCTCCCCTAGAACCCCCCCCCCCAAAACAAAAAGACCAAAAAAGGAGATTTTTATCCCAAAAAACCTTTAATAAATACAAAAGGGGGCGGAGCCAGAAGCTCCCAGTGCTCCCAGTAAAGGTCGGGGGGGGGTCCCAGTTTGGGGTGGATTTTGAGGGGAAAAGGGTTGGAAAATGGGGAAAAATGGAGGGAAAATGGGGAAAAATGGAGGGAAAATGAGGGAAAAAAGGGAAATATGAGGGGAAAAAAAGGGAAATAGGTAAAAAGGGTGGGAAACTTGAGGGGAAAAGGCCAAAAATTTGGGGGGAAAAGGCCAAAAATTTGAGGGGAAAAGGGCAAAAATTTGAGGGGAAAAGGGCAAAAATTTGGGGGGAAAAGGGCAAAAATTTGAGGGGAAAAGGGCAAAAATTTGAGGGGAAAAGGGCAAAAATTTGAGGGGAAAAGGGCAAAAATTTGAGGGGAAAAGGGCAAAAATTTGAGGGGAAAAGGGCAAAAATTTGGGGGGAAAAGGGCAAAAATTTGAGGGGAAAAGGGCAAAAATTTGAGGGGAAAAGGGCAAAAATTTGAGGGGAAAAGGGCAAAAATTTGAGGGGAAAAGGGCAAAAATTTGAGGGGAAAAGGGCAAAAATTTGGGGGGAAAAGGGCAAAAATTTGAGGGGAAAAGGGCAAAAATTTGAGGGGAAAAGGGCAAAAATTTGAGGGGAAAAGGGCAAAAATTTGAGGGGAAAAGGGCAAAAATTTGAGGGGAAAAGGGCAAAAATTTGGGGGGAAAAGGGCAAAAATTTGAGGGGAAAAGGGCAAAAATTTGAGGGGAAAAGGGCAAAAATTTGAGGGGAAAAGGGCAAAAATTTGAGGGGAAAAGGGCAAAAATTTGAGGGGAAAAGGGCAAAAATTTGGGGGGAAAAGGGCAAAAATTTGAGGGGAAAAGGGCAAAAATTTGAGGGGAAAAGGGCAAAAATTTGAGGGGAAAAGGGCAAAAATTTGAGGGGAAAAGGGCAAAAATTTGAGGGGAAAAGGGCAAAAATTTGGGGGGAAAAGGGCAAAAATTTGAGGGGAAAAGGGCAAAAATTTGAGGGGAAAAGGGCAAAAATTTGAGGGGAAAAGGGCAAAAATTTGAGGGGAAAAGGGCAAAAATTTGAGGGGAAAAGGGCAAAAATTTGGGGGGAAAAGGGCAAAAATTTGAGGGGAAAAGGGCAAAAATTTGAGGGGAAAAGGGCAAAAATTTGAGGGGAAAAGGGCAAAAATTTGAGGGGAAAAGGGCAAAAATTTGAGGGGAAAAGGGCAAAAATTTGGGGGGAAAAGGGCAAAAATTTGAGGGGAAAAGGGCAAAAATTTGAGGGGAAAAGGGCAAAAATTTGAGGGGAAAAGGGCAAAAATTTGAGGGGAAAAGGGCAAAAATTTGAGGGGAAAAGGGCAAAAATTTGGGGGGAAAAGGGCAAAAATTTGAGGGGAAAAGGGCAAAAATTTGAGGGGAAAAGGGCAAAAATTTGAGGGGAAAAGGGCAAAAATTTGAGGGGAAAAGGGCAAAAATTTGAGGGGAAAAGGGCAAAAATTTGGGGGGAAAAGGGCAAAAATTTGAGGGGAAAAGGGCAAAAATTTGAGGGGAAAAGGGCAAAAATTTGAGGGGAAAAGGGCAAAAATTTGAGGGGAAAAGGGCAAAAATTTGAGGGGAAAAGGGCAAAAATTTGGGGGGAAAAGGGCAAAAATTTGAGGGGAAAAGGGCAAAAATTTGAGGGGAAAAGGGCAAAAATTTGAGGGGAAAAGGGCAAAAATTTGAGGGGAAAAGGGCAAAAATTTGAGGGGAAAAGGGCAAAAATTTGGGGGGAAAAGGGCAAAAATTTGAGGGGAAAAGGGCAAAAATTTGAGGGGAAAAGGGCAAAAATTTGAGGGGAAAAGGGCAAAAATTTGAGGGGAAAAGGGCAAAAATTTGAGGGGAAAAGGGCAAAAATTTGGGGGGAAAAGGGCAAAAATTTGAGGGGAAAAGGGCAAAAATTTGAGGGGAAAAGGGCAAAAATTTGAGGGGAAAAGGGCAAAAATTTGAGGGGAAAAGGGCAAAAATTTGAGGGGAAAAGGGCAAAAATTTGGGGGGAAAAGGGCAAAAATTTGAGGGGAAAAGGGCAAAAATTTGAGGGGAAAAGGGCAAAAATTTGAGGGGAAAAGGGCAAAAATTTGAGGGGAAAAGGGCAAAAATTTGAGGGGAAAAGGGCAAAAATTTGGGGGGAAAAGGGCAAAAATTTGAGGGGAAAAGGGCAAAAATTTGAGGGGAAAAGGGCAAAAATTTGAGGGGAAAAGGGCAAAAATTTGAGGGGAAAAGGGCAAAAATTTGAGGGGAAAAGGGCAAAAATTTGGGGGGAAAAGGGCAAAAATTTGAGGGGAAAAGGGCAAAAATTTGAGGGGAAAAGGGCAAAAATTTGAGGGGAAAAGGGCAAAAATTTGAGGGGAAAAGGGCAAAAATTTGAGGGGAAAAGGGCAAAAATTTGGGGGGAAAAGGGCAAAAATTTGAGGGGAAAAGGGCAAAAATTTGAGGGGAAAAGGGCAAAAATTTGAGGGGAAAAGGGCAAAAATTTGAGGGGAAAAGGGCAAAAATTTGAGGGGAAAAGGGCAAAAATTTGGGGGGAAAAGGGCAAAAATTTGAGGGGAAAAGGGCAAAAATTTGAGGGGAAAAGGGCAAAAATTTGAGGGGAAAAGGGCAAAAATTTGAGGGGAAAAGGGCAAAAATTTGAGGGGAAAAGGGCAAAAATTTGGGGGGAAAAGGGCAAAAATTTGAGGGGAAAAGGGCAAAAATTTGAGGGGAAAAGGGCAAAAATTTGAGGGGAAAAGGGCAAAAATTTGAGGGGAAAAGGGCAAAAATTTGAGGGGAAAAGGGCAAAAATTTGGGGGGAAAAGGGCAAAAATTTGAGGGGAAAAGGGCAAAAATTTGAGGGGAAAAGGGCAAAAATTTGAGGGGAAAAGGGCAAAAATTTGAGGGGAAAAGGGCAAAAATTTGAGGGGAAAAGGGCAAAAATTTGGGGGGAAAAGGGCAAAAATTTGAGGGGAAAAGGGCAAAAATTTGAGGGGAAAAGGGCAAAAATTTGAGGGGAAAAGGGCAAAAATTTGAGGGGAAAAGGGCAAAAATTTGAGGGGAAAAGGGCAAAAATTTGGGGGGAAAAGGGCAAAAATTTGAGGGGAAAAGGGCAAAAATTTGAGGGGAAAAGGGCAAAAATTAAACCCAAATTTACCCCCCCCAGACCCCCCCAGTACCCCCATAATAGGCCAGGACCCTCCTCTGGGGGTCCAGGTGGAACCAGCGGCGCCGCCAGGTCTTGATGCGCCCCCCCATCTTGGTGAGGGGACCCCTCAGGGACCCCCCCAAAATCCACAGGCCCCCCACAGACTCGGGGCGGTGGCCGCGGGCCCGGAGGGCGCAGAGGAGGTCGGGCTGGACCCCCCCCCAAAAAAAAAAAAAAAAAAAGGGAGTTAATTAATGGAAAATTGGGGTAGGAAATGCCCAAAATACTTCCCGAAATTCTGACCCCGTGAATGGCCCTAAAATCACCCGGAATTTCCACAAAATCCGCCCAAAATTCCTCTAAAATCTCCCAAAAATTCACAAAAAGTCTTCATAAAATGCTCCCATAAATGCCCCTAAAATAGAAAAAAATAATCCCCCCAAAATCTACTGAAAAATCACCCAAAATCTGCCCGAAACCCCTCTAAAATCTCCCAAAATCCACACAAAATCTTCATAAAATTCCCCCAAAATCCTCACAAAATCCCCCCAAAAATTTCACAACAATCCCAACCCAAATCCCCCAAAAATCTCCCCAAAAATCTGCCCGAAACCCCTCTAAAATCTCCCCAAAATCCACAAAAAATCTTCATAAAATGAAGATTATAAATTCTCCCAAAATCCCCCAAAATATCTCACAACAATCCCATCCCAAATCCCCCAAAAATCTGCCCGAAACCCCTCTAAAATCTCCCCAAAATCCACAAAAAATCTTCATAAAATTCCCCCATAAATCCTCCCAAAATCCCCAAAAAAATTTCACAACAATCGCAACCCAAATCCCCCAAAAATCTGCCCGAAACCCCTCTAAAATCTCCCCAAAATCCACACAAAATCTTCATAAAATCCCCCCAAAAATAAAAAAATTCTCCCAAAATTCCCCCCAAATCCCCACAAAAAATCCACCCAAAAATCTCCCCAAAATCCACCCCAAATCTTCATAAAATTCCCCCATAAATCCTCCCAAAATCCCCAAAAAAATTTCACAACAAAGATGAAGCCACGCCCACTTCGACCCTCAGGCTGGGGGGCTGGGATCCCCACAAAAAATTTCCCCCCAAATCTCCCCAAAATCCACCCCAAATCTTCATAAATCCCCCAAATTTCCCCAAAATCTCCCCAAATCCCCCCAAATTTCCCCAAAAATCCCCCAAATTCCCCCAACCAAAATCCAATTATGGAGTGGGCGGAGCCACCTCAGGAGGGGGCGTGGCCTGAGCCGGAGGGGGCGCTGCCTGTGCTGGAGTGGGTGTGGCCTCATCAGAAGTGGGCGTGTCCGTGGTGGGCGGAGCCTTGGCAGCTTTTCGAGCCTCCTGCGAGGAGGAGGAGGAGGAGATGAAGCCACGCCCACTTCGACCACACCCCGTTAAGCCACGCCCACAATCAAAATAAACCACGGCCTCCACTATGCATTACGTCACCAAAACCGCCCATTTTAGGCCACGCCCACACCCGTATCCTCACAGACCACACCCACCAGGACCACGCCCACCGAATCCACGCCCACCCAGGCCACGCCCACCCAGGCCGCGCCCCCTACCCGGGCTCGCAGCAGCCGCTCGCGCTCGGCCAAGGCCTCCCGGACCCGCAGCTCCAGTTATAGTCCACGCCCACCCAGGCCACACCCACCCAGGCCACGCCCACCCAGGCCACGCCCCCTACCCTGGCTTGCAGCAGCCGCTCGCGCTCGGCCAAGGCCTCCCGGACCCGCAGCTCCAGTTGGGCCAGTTGGAGACACGCACTGGGCAAACTGGGATTAACTGGGGAGGCTGGGGGGCTGGGATTAAACTGGGATTAACTGGGATTAAACTGGGATTAACTGGCATTAACTGGGATTAATTGGAAGGGACT